ACGCAAGATCAATGGATACAAAGCGACCGGGAACAATACGAGACGTCAACTCGCCGATATAGTCCCAGAAAGTCAGTCGCAGGTGCTGCCATAAATGTATGTATGCTAATATTTTGTGTCGTCTCCCACCAGTCGACCAATGAAAAGTTGTTCCGTCGATAAAAACAGTTGGTGTTCTCGAATTGGAAACACAACACGACACATTCGTTTATTTTACTAACCCGTCCGTCGGTTGATGTGTTGGATTTCTGTCTTTTTACGTGTATTGGGATTTGTGATATGCGAATTGAGATTTCGACATTTCTTTCTGCCCCTGGATCTTCGAATTTAGACTTGCGACTTGTGAAAGTAATCTGGCATATCTGTTTCTGGACAGGAATTTTATTCCAAGCGTGACGAAACTGACTACCTATTTTGGGGAAAGACAATGAAATTTCTCCGGCCCTGGACATTTGGTCACACAGGACGCGTGAGCGAAATCGTCCATAAATACGAGTCGTTGGAATGTGAAGACAGTTCGAGCCCAGTTCGTTATTATTGGAGATAATTCTACTCGGTGAGTCGTCTATTCTTACGCAGGCCTTATTCACTCAGTACCAGGAAAAAAGAACACCACGGCTCGTCAAGAACGAAAGAAAATTTTTTTTTTCTTGCCAGGAATCGCAACACAATGCATTAGACAATACGACCAACTTGAATAGCATCACAACCCACGCAAACTTACCACAGGCAGAGGTGTAGTTCGTAGCCCTCCACAACTTCCTATTGTTTGTAGCTCTTAGCGATGTTTGTATTTTACTATCCCTCCCACGACTTGTTCTACCATCCATTTACACAATATCGTTAGGTAGGTTACTTGATGTTTCACATTGTTACCCTTGCCCTTATCAACATGCCTTGTGAGTGACAAATTCTCCAAACCCTTCTTTCATTATTATGTCTCCTTGAAATGAATGTTCTTTTTGTTTCTATTTTCATTAAAACTTGCTCTGTCCATGACATTCTGAGCATCCTTCTGTAGAACCATATTTCTTTTGCCTAAAGTCATCTTCATCTATGCATTCGCTGACATATAGGGAGATTGATATTAGATAGCATATCAGCATAATTTTCTTAGTTTCTAACGAAATTTTTCGTTTAGATTACAAAATAACCCCAAATAATGAGTAAAGTTTGTCTGGTAAATTCAAATAGAGTTTATTTTTAATAAGGTGTAGTTGGTTTTAAGAGTATAATGTTCGATTTACATATAAGGAAATAAATCAGGATTTTATATAGTTTTTCTTTCATTTTTGTTGCTTTTTTATTTGTTTTGCATTTTACAACTTTGCTTTTGTGTCATTGAGTGTATGAAGATCCGAGTGTTGCGTTAAAAGATTAATACAAATACGATGAAAAAACTCGTCAAAAATCAATAAGGAAAATGCTTCATGTTAAATAATTTAACACAATTTAACCCAGGAATTTAAGACGAGTTTCGACTCGTCTTAAATTTTCGAAATTTATTAGATGAAGCATTTTCACTATTACAAAATTAGATTTTAAAAATAAAACAGGGATATCCACTCAAATCACGGGCAGACACTGAATATAACATTTAAGGCAATAAGAAATAATATAAGATTTTTGTAAATCATTTCACCCCAAGCAAGGCAGCAAAGCCATTAAGACGCAAGGAATTACTGAATGTTAGAGAATAAGTAAAAAGAAAAGCATCATTAAAGAACAAGAACGAAGTTAGAAAGGTTTCTCTCAGATGATCAATATATAAATAAAATCTGTTATAAATAAAACCCATTAATCCCTTAGAAATTACCTTTTTACATTTTAACGTTTCATATTTGGAAATAAAATTAGCAATATAGGCCTCGAGAAGTTCCAATGAAAGATGTGCATTTCTTTGCTGTGGCCTTTCGTGGGTGAACTGTTCAAAGCACATCTAGCTTAAAGGCGGTTTCCCCGGTTTCTATCCCTGTCAAAAGGCACAATTTCTTTAATAAGTCTTTCGAATTCTTAGGCCGGTAGATGTCAATTGCACTGTTTAAAAACAATGATGTCTGCATACATTCAGCCATTATTTACAGTATAAAAAATATAATTTAGAACTGTATATTATTTTTAAAAACTTTGAAACAACGAGATTTTGTTTTGTTTTTACTTTAAAAATTATTTGCTTTTATGATTTTCTAAACTGTGAACTATTTTCTTTTGTGTTTAGGTGTGAATATAAAAAAATGTGTGATCACATACGCAGGCCCGTGAGCATGCGCACTCAGAGCCATCATTTGACTTTTCTCATTTGTGTTTTTATGTTAATCATATATGCTTTCTACATGAAGGCAAATACAATAGACTGAGTAAAAATATACGCATGTTTTTTCCACCGTTTATTTGTGCTTGGTTATACTTATAAAAAAGTAAATCACTATTTTTACGCTTTAAAATATAATTTAGAAGAGAAAAAACCCGTAATACTTGTTTAAATTTTAGGAATGTGTTTATGAATTATATAATTTTGATTATTTCATGATTGCAAGATAATTAAATAATAAGATAATATTATTATAATTTTCATCATGTTGTAATAAAATAAGTGAGATTATATCTAATAAAATTTATCCATATATATATAGATGGTGTATGTATGTGTGTGATATTTAATCAGGGGAAGTTAAATAAAACTACAATATTGATTTAATTATTAAATCAAAAAGCAAGATACAATGTGTTTTAGCACTCGATTATCTTTTGATTTGTGTGATTTTATTGATTGCATCTAGGGCTTGTGATGTACGGGCTAATTCGGATTTCGTCGGTAAAGTTTACAGCTACGTGCGATCAAATGCTGGGTTATAAAGCGGGAAGCCTAAGCGTTGTTTTCTGGTTTCGTCTTTGTTCTTCAGTTAATTAGGGCTTCTGCAGCTTCTCATTGCAAAAAAAAAAAAAAAAATAGATAAATAAATAGAAAAGACACGTTTCTCGAATACAAGACGAATAATGATCTGACTCATTTCGAAGAAATCTCTTGTTTCTAGTTTCCTTATCTATCAATCTTTACTCAACCATCTTAGCGAGTTTTTGAGAACTTACATAGTTTTTTTTTTTATATATAGAAAAATTGTTTTGAATTTCTTTTCACCACATGTCAGAAAATTAAGCATTTGAAATCAGCTTCCTTTGAAATTTGAGTATTTTGGTAAGAGTAAAAAATGAAAAAATCTGCTGATGTCATCACGAAATCTTGCTCTCTTTGAAAAAGTTAATCAATTTATGATAATTATTTTGCATTATTCGTAATTAATCCACAAAAAAAAAATAAAATAAAATAAAACAGTAACAACCAAAAATTCTTCCATCTACCTTGTCAGATTTTATTCTGCAAGTCAATATTTTAAAATAAAATTGGTATTAATGAATTTCGGCAAAATTTTCAGGACAGACCCATTTTTAAAAAATCAAATTCACCCCAAGCAAGGCAGTAACGCCACTAAGGCACAAGGGTGTTACTGGGTGTGGAAGAAAATAGAAAAAAATACTCCTTAGGAGTGGAAACAATAGAAGAGTACACCGGAAGACAGTAGATCGTGATTGACATTGCATTTAAATTTTTAAAGATTAAAGTTGACTGGAAAGCATGGAGCCGGAAGAAAGTTCCACATGCGAGAAGTGCGAAGAAAAAACTGTTGGCATAGAACATGGTTACCTCTCGCCAACTCAACTGTAAATAGATGAGACCTTGTTGCCAATCTATTACTGCACTTAAATTCATTAAGTCTAGCTACCACAGTGTAGAACTCATCCGAAAAACTACCATGAAAGTATTTATAGAAAAGGCAGAGGAAAGCAATTTTACAGAGGTAGGAAAGTGACTGAAGCCGATACATCAAGTCAAGACCAATAATATTGCTTATTCTTCTTTAGAGTTTAACAAGAATCTCCAAGTATAACAGGATCATCGGACCATATATAGCAGCAATATTCTAAGCATGGACGAATAGTAGACTTACAGATATGTAAGATAGATTTTGGAGAGAAAAATTGTCTAGCCCAACTCAGTGAACTTTCTTAGCAGCTGACCTGGCAATTAATTCAGAATAGTCTTTCCACTCCATGTCTGCCGAGAATGCTATCTCGAGAATGTTAGTCCGTGAAGGCGCAACGAGTCACTCTCTTGGGGGTTAGTAGCAGCCATACTGATGGAAGGCAGAAATGGGTCCCAGATGGTTAAAAGGGAGAAGTTTCCTTTTTGCGGTGTTAAAATTAACAAATCATTCTTTGCCCCAGTTAACAACAGACTGAAAGTTGTTTATGACTTCAGCCGTTGATTTGACTTTATCGAACTGATAAGACTTGTTGTCGCTACAAGAGTAAATAGCTGTGTCATCAGCATAGATACCAAGTTGAGAGCTGAGGCCATCGGGAAGGTCGTTAATGAAAATTAAAAGGAGAAGACCGACATTAGTACGAAAGGATCTTGATAAACTTATTTTGTTTTACGCCATATCAACTTTTAACTGTTTATTTTATGCATAACTTTTATCGTACAATAGAAAGGTAGGTTTTGATTGCACCAGAGTTAAAAAAAAAAAAACAACCTAGATATAGGTTTGGTTTTTACAAGAATAAAAAGGAATATATAGGTTTAGTTTGCATGAGTGTCAAAAAGTAGACATAGGTTTGGTTTGTACAAAAGGTATATATATAGGTTTGGTCTGCATGAGTGTTAAGAACTAGACATAGGTTTAGTTTGTATAAGAGCCAGAAAAGGTAGACATAGGTTTAGTTTGGTTGTTTTTGTTTCGCTGCATTTAATATATGGGTTCTTTAATGCTGAAAATATTTTTAAGTAATTTTATTATTTTTTTCTTGTTAGATGATATTCATACATTTCCTAATGGTATTTGCGCGTAAGTGAATAAAAAAAGAATCCAAATGGAATTGGAACTCGGCTCTCTGATTGACAATTCCAAGCCATTATCCATGATACTATCCGTATATACATTGCAGCACCTGGTATTTCCAAACGGTCACCCATCTAAGTACTGACCAGGCTCAACGTTGCTTAACTTCGGTAATAGTACAAGAGCCAGTTTTTGTACATGATCTGGCCGTAAGCCTTACATAGTTTTGATTTGTGCCAGAGGCAAAAAGGTAGACATAGATTTGGTTTGCACGAGATACACCTGATAATATACCACATGAATTTCAGTTTATAATAACTGTTTTTATTAGTGCATGAGTCAGCTAAAACAAATTTAGCATAGGCCATAAGGAAACTGAACACAGGATAAACTGTGCTTGGGATAGTTTTGTCCAACACCGCCAGTTGCTACAGAGCCAAAATATTAACCTGAGAACTCGAGTCATATTCTTAAAAAGCAGCCTAAAATCAAAAAACATTATATGGATGTCAGGAAAGGCATCCAAATTCTTCTATCAATGATCAAAAATAGATTCTAGCGAATAAATCCTCAGTATTTAAAGATGGCAATCCTTCATCAGAACTGATATACTATCGCTGTAGAATATAAAAAACAAAGAGTTTTACCAAATTAGAAAAAAAAACACATCACTCAAACTTCCAACAGCAACAACAACTAAAATGGTTAGCACATATAACTAAAAGTGGAAATTAAGATATAATCAATATTTGACATTCCACATTACCTTAAAGGTCATGAAGGAATCTTCCCATCAGTACTGGAAAGAGCAATAAGAGTTGAATTGAGAGACATATTTTCTTGAAGAAACTCTTTTAATAGAAAGATTGCATGAATTTTAACCAAGAGTAACATTCGTTCAGTCACTGTTTCCTGTACAGAAACGGCCATTCTCACAATTACTACGACGATACTATAAGTTGAAACAAACACAATATATTGTTCATTCAAACATACGTATACACGGAATATTTTACCAATATCAATTTTATTGTGGAAGCGAAAAAGTTGCATGATAAAATTAAACGTAGCATATATGGATAAACATCTCTCTCTCTCTCTCTCTCTCTATCTCCCTCTCAATATATATATATAATATATATATATATATATATATATATATACAGGGGTTGGACAAAATAATTGGAACAGTTGCAAAATCCACTCCTATATTTCAAAGATCTATATTATTAAGAACTTTAACTAAAACTTCGTAATTGCAGGTTATATCTATTGTAAATACATTTATTTATCTAATTTATTGTCTTTGTCTTATTTATTTATAGAATTTAGTAAAATTTAAGCTAAATGCGTGACCTCTCCGAGTTCGAAAAAGAGCAAATTGTTGGAGCTCGTATGGCAGGAGCCTCGATCACTAAGGTTGCTGAACTGTTTGGTTTTTCAAGAGCTACCATATGAAGAACACTGATGCAATTCGAGAAACAGAGCAAGACCTCTAGCAACCGTAGCAATTCGGGCCGGACTTGCAAACTTACTGACAGGAACTGAAATGCATTGAAACGCAATATGGCAAGAAATCATCGGACAAATGCGGTCAAAGTGACTGCTGAGTTGAATAACCATCTGAATAGTTTCTACTAAAACTGTTCCCCATGAGCTCCATAAGGCTGCATATCATGGAAGAGCCACTGTGAGGAAACCTCTTCTCTCCACTTGCAACATTCAAAAGAGGTTGAAGTGGTGCAGAGATCACAATGCCTGGTCTGCAAACCAATGGAAACAAGTCATATTCTCAAACAAGTCCAGTTTTTCTCTTTTCCCAACTTTAGGGCGAGTTTATGTGTGGAGGGAGCCCAAAGAAGCTTACAACCCTGACTGCCTTCTTCCAACAGTGAAGCATGGAGGTGGATCAGTGACAGTTTGGGCCGCCATATCATGGAAATGTCTCAGTCCAATAGTTGCCCTGCATGGTAGAATCAACAGCAAAGATTACCTGAACATTTTGGGAGATCATGTTCATCCAATGGCCAAGACTTTATTCCCTGATGGTGACTGCATCTTCCAAGACGATAATGCTCCAATACATACCGCTTGGGTGGTTAAGAATTGGTATGAAGAGCATGAAAGTGAGCTAGAATACATGGAGTGGCCTCCCCAATCTCAAGATATCAATATTATTGAACATTTGTGGTGCATTTTGAAGCAACATGTTAGGAGCCGCTATCCTCCATAGTCGTGTCGTAAAGAGCTGGAGAAGGTGTTAATGGAAGAATGACTGAAAATTTCTCTGGATGAAGTCAGAAAGCTGTATGATTCCATTCCTAGACGTATTAAAGCTGACCAACTCCATATTAAATAAATTTTCTTTGAATTTAACAAGTGTTCCAATTATTTTGTCCAAACCTTGTATATATATATATATATATATATATATATATATATATATATGAGAGATGAGAGAGAGAGAGAGGATAATTCTAGCGGGGATGTAATTTAGAGAGTTCAAAATAAAAACAGAGCAAATATTAATTATATTAAAAACAGACGACTTTAAGGGTTCATGGGATTTATTTCCTTATCACCGGATTTTGGTGCTAATTCATCAAATTTCCATTTTCATATAAAATATTGGTGATTAATTTTTCCAGGGTTAAAAAACTTATATTATTTTTAATTTATGCCTGCATGTGTTTGAGGGGCAGTTTAAGTTGGTATAAAGTTGCAGTGAGAGGAGGAGTAAGACGATAGATATGTGATCGAAATTAGAGAGGAAAAGGAAATTTAGGAAGATGTTTATATCTATCCTTATTAGGATCCATATAGGAATGGTGGTGATATATATATATATATATATATATATATATATATATATCAGGTCCCATAAGTTCTGTCCGAATTTTGAATAAAGAAAACATGTGACCAAATGTTTGACATTTAATTACAGATTCAATCAACAATGTATTTTTCCTCATTATCTATGACTTCCTTCCATCTATTAACAAGCTTACTAATTCCATTACTGTAAAAATTCTTTTGGATTTGATTCGAAGAACTCACAAATGTCAGTTTTAACCTCTTCCTCTGTTACAAAAGCTGTTTTTTCCAAATGATTCTGGAAGCTTTAAAATGGTAGTCTGAAGGAGCAAGATCAGGAGAATAAGGCAATGAGGAATTTTCTCCCAACCAAGTTCTTCGATCTTTTGTGATGTGATTCTTGCTGTGTGGATTCGCGCATTGTCCTGATGAAACATCACCCCTTTTCGATTCAATAGAGCAGGTCATTTTTTCCTCAAAGCTTGGTTTAAAAGCTCTAATTGCTGACAGTATATTTGAGCATTAATTGTTGCATTAGGTGGTAAGAATTCAAAGTGGATTATTCCTTGGCGATCCCACCAGATTGAAAGATAAACCTTTTGCCCATGAAGTTCCCTTCTCGGCTGTGGCTGGGGTCCTTCCCTTTTACCAAGCCACTGTCTACGATGCTTAACATTTCGGTAAAAGACCCATTTTCGTCGCCAGTCGCAAGTCTATCCAAAAAGGTGAAACAAGTTGGCGAGAATGGAGAAAGAGCAGATGTCAACTCTATTTGAGGTTGTTTTCAGACAATTCATGAGGCACCCATTTTCCAAGTTTAGGAACTTTTCCAAGTCGTTGAAGATGACGATGACCAGTTGTATGTTTTGAACTGAGAACCACTACCAATTCCTCAACTGATAAAGCAGGATTTTCTTCAAGTGCTGCTTCAAGAAGCTTTTCATGAAACTCAACTGGACGTCCGTTTCGATCTTCATCTTTTAAGGGTGAAATCTCCACCTCTGAATTTTGCAAACCATCTTCTGCAAGTTCTTTCATTCACACATTCCTCTCCACAAATTGAGTGAATGTTTCTAGCCACTTCAGCTGCTGAGTTTCCTTTCTTGAACTCATAAAGCATTATGTGCCTCAAATGATTCTTGAGTACTTCCATGTTAGCAGGGTTTTAATCAAACAAAATTTAATTTTATTGTTCTCTGAAATAAAATTTGATCAGTTTAAATGCATCTAAACATAAAAATAATGTTCAGTTCCATTAGACATTATAAATTACTCTTTAAATTTCGTTCATTTTAACAAAAAGTTAAAATTCGGACAAAACTTATGGAATGACCTGATATATATATATATATATATATAAGAGAGAGAGAGAGAGAGAGAGAGAGAGTGTGTGTGTGTGTGTGTTAAATTATTTGGTAATCCGTATGGATAATTCTAGCGGGGATGTAATTTAGAGAGTTCAAAATAAAAACAGAGCAAATATTAATTATATTAAGAAACAGACGACTTTAAGGGTTCATGGGATTTATTTCCTTATCACCGGGATTTTGGTGCTAATTCATCAAATTTCCATTTTCATATAAAAATATTGGTGATTAATTTTTCCAGGGTTAAAAACTTACATATTATTTTTAATTTATGCCTGCATGTGTTTGAGGGGGCAGTTTTAAGTTGGTATAAAGTTGCAGTGAGAGGAGGAGTAAGACGATAGATATGTGATCGAAATTAGAGAGGGAAAGGAAAGATAGGAAGATGTTTATATCTATCCTTATTAGGATCCATATGGGAATGGTGGTGAATATATATATATATATATATATATATATATATATATATATATCAGGTCCCCATAAGTTCTGTCCGAATTTTGAATAAAGAAAACATGTGACCAAATGTTACATTTAATTACAGATTCAATCAACAATGTATTTTTCCTCATTATCTATGACTTCCTTCCATCTATTAACAAGCTTACTAATTCCATTACTGTAAAATTCTTTTGGATTTGATTCGAAGAACTCACAAATGTCAGTTTTAACCTCTTCCTCTGTTACAAAAGCTGTTTCTTCCAAATGATTCTGGAAGCTACGAAACAAATGGTAGTCTGAAGGAGCAAGATCGGGAGAATAAGGTGGATGAGGAATTTTCTCCCAACCAAGTTCTTCGATCTTTTGTGATGTGATTCTTGCTGTGTGGATTCGCGCATTGTCCTGATGAAACATCACCCCTTTTCGATTCAATAGAGCAGGTCATTTTTTCCTCAAAGCTTGGTTTAAAAGCTCTAATTGCTGACAGTATATTTGAGCATTAATTGTTGCATTAGGTGGTAAGAATTCAAAGTGGATTATTCCTTGGCGATCCCACCAGATTGAAAGATAAACCTTTTGCCCATGAAGTTCCCTTCTCGGCTGTGGCTGGGGTCCTTCCCTTTTACCAAGCCACTGTCTACGATGCTTAACATTTCGGTAAAAGACCCATTTTCGTCGCCAGTCGCAAGTCTATCCAAAAAAGGTGAAACAAGTTGGCGAGAATGGAGAGAAGAGCAGATGTCAACTCGGGATTTGAGGTTGTTTTCAGACAATTCATGAGGCACCCATTTTCCAAGTTTAGGAACTTTTCCAAGTCGTTGAAGATGACGATGACCAGTTGTATGTTTTGAACTGAGAACCACTACCAATTCCTCAACTGATAAAGCAGGATTTTCTTCAAGTGCTGCTTCAAGAAGCTTTTCATGAAACTCAACTGGACGTCCGGTTCGATCTTCATCTTTAAGGGTGAAATCTCCACCTCTGAATTTTGCAAACCATCTTCTGCAAGTTCTTTCATTCACACATTCCTCTCCACAAATTGAGTGAATGTTTCTAGCCACTTCAGCTGCTGAGTTTCCTTTCTTGAACTCATAAAGCATTATGTGCCTCAAATGATTCTTGAGTACTTCCATGTTAGCAGGGTTTTAATCAAACAAAATTTAATTTTATTGTTCTCTGAAATAAAATTTGATCAGTTTAAATGCATCTAAACATAAAAATAATGTTCAGTTCCATTAGACATTATAAATTACTCTTTAAATTTCGTTCATTTTAACAAAAAGTTAAAATTCGGACAAAACTTATGGAATGACCTGATATATATATATATATACTATTTGCATCATTTGGGCTGTTGGTCTCATCTTTATTGCCATATCACGATATTTTACCAGAGCTTATATTACAAATCTATGTTATTGTTGTTTTTCTCTAGCTCTCTGTATTACTGGTTCCCGTCTTAGGATACTTTTGTGGCCTAGGATATGCGCTGATTTATTAAGTTTTCGTAATTTCCAGTGATGTTCTCTGTCTATTATTTCAACTTCATCCTACAGAAGGCGATGGTCTCTCTTTTCCCTCAATATATGGTCAGCTATACCTGGGTTTTTTTTATTACCCTCGTGTTACGACTTTACGGTGTTCCTCTGTAGTCCTATAAAGCGTTGGTTAAACTAATCCAGAATGTGAGTTCAACACCTGCCCATTGCAGAGGGCACAAAAACTTAGAGAATTGAGTTACTAAAAGGAATTAATTGAAACCTGAAATTAAAACTGCCCGCGTGGACTAAACAAAGTACTCGGTTCGAAATTCCAACGTATACCACCTGAAGAAGGCCGGAGCGTACAACGGCCGAAACGTCGTGAATATGGCAATAAAGATTAGAACAAGAGTCTGAATTATGTAAATAATTACAATACCTCATCTCAAAAACAGAGACAAATGATATATATCTTAGTCTCTGATGTCTCTCTACCACGGTATCTTCTTATTTGCTTGAATATTTTGGTTTGTTTCTATCTATCTCAGTCTTTTCATATCTATCTATCTATCTATCTATCTATCTATCTATCTATCTATCTATCATGTCTAAATAGTTTAGCAACTGTTCATTTTAACAATGGACATATCCAATTTGCATTGATCTTAGCTGACATTTTGAATTTGATATGGAAGCAAATTCTACGGATAGACAGACATTTTTTTCTCTTTCTCTTTCACTCTCATTCTCCCCATTTTCGAAACTCGTTCATTTTGTTTCTTCTTCTCCCTCCCTCTTCCTTGTTTCCTTTAGTTTCACCTCTTACTTTCCTCTAGTATCTTTTTGTCTTCTTTTCACTCTCTTTGTTTTAATTTCTCTCTTTTCTTTTTTGCCCATACTCATCTTCTAATTCTCTTATTTCTATCTCCTATTTATCCCTTCCATTTCTATCTCTCTCTTTCCTTTACTCTATGTTACCTCTCTCTTTCTTACTGTATCAAGTTCTCAATTTATCCCGATTTTGCACAAAACACATCCTTCTCTCTCTCTACCCTTTTTCTACCTGCCACACTGATTATATGTTACTTTCTTTCTCTCTCCTTCTCTCTCTCTCTCTCTTCTTTTTTCAATATTCCTCTCTTTATATTCATCTATTTTTGCCCTCTATCTCATTCTCGTTCTCAGTCGCTTTCACTGTCTTCCTTTATTACACATCATATGGACATTCACGAAACATATCTTAGTTTTAACACAAGGCCACAAGTGTTGAGTGCTCAGTATCAAATCGAATTCCTTGACATGTAAACATGATTTACGTGACGAACTTGTTAACCATTACACCACGATAATCCGTATAGATCAATGATATATTTGTTTCTTCCTCTATTTGTTTCTTCCCTTCTTTTATTCATTAAAGAGAGTAAATCGAATTCACGCTAATTCTTCATAAAGATTCCTGGCTCTAAGACGAAAATAGTTTTTTATTGATTCCTGCAATTAATTATATGCATTATTAACAGTAATATGTATTCATAAGGTGCAGCATGGAAGTGCAAGATAAAACCGTTTACAGACATCACATTTCGAACATATCTCTCTTAGCAAATGATTCAATTCATAAAGCTTGTATCTTTCTGAACTGTTTTTTCTACACCTACAATATCATCATAAAAATTCAGATTGTCTGTAGTGTACTATGACTGGAGTTAAAGTAGCGTATTATACCGTCTTTACGTGGGTTATTGTGCAATAACTATTGATGAAATAGTCCCATATATTTCCACGAACTTAAAGAAACAAACATCAATGAGTGTTTAAGAACTTGTTTTTTATTACAATGGTTAATTTGAATGATGCATTCAAACGGAAGAAACATTTTTCGGGAGACAAGTTGATTTTTTATTCCAGAATTCTTGAAATTTGCTCGGCTGTCCATTGTTTGTGCACTCAGTCCATTGTAATATATCGTTTAAAACGAGCTTTAATGGGAAAGATTCAGACACGAGGAAAATGAGTTCCAAATGAATTTACAGAAACGAACTGTGATAGAAGGCACTCAATATGTCGCATATTCCTTATCGAAACCTGCCGTTTTATTTGTTACCATCCACGCATCTCTGCTTGTACTTTTTTTTGAGTAAATCCAACATTTTCATGATATAGAAAAATTCCTTGAAGAAATCATCAGATGATAGCAAAGACAATTTCTCTGTAAAGTAGTGAAAGATCATATGGTAAACGAGAGGGGGATCTTTTAGCGATTATCATAATGCTTTGAGTTTATGGGAATGAAAGAGTTTATTAAAAATACTAGAAGCTTTTGTATCAACATAAAAGAGAAAGAGAGAGATTTTGTGTGTGTGTGTGTGTGTGTGTGTGTGTGTGTGTGTGTGTGTGTGTGTGTGTGTGTGTGTGTGTGTGTGTGTGTGTGAGCGTGTGTGGAAAAGTGTGTGTGTGTGCGTCTGTGAATGCCTTAGTGCGTGTGAGTACGTGTGAATGTAACGTGCGTGTGAGTCAGTGAGTGCGTGCGTGTATGACGGAGTATATGTGCGAGCGTGTGTGTTTAATAGTGTGTTTGAATGGCAGTTTTTGTGTTGTGTGAGAGTGTGTGAGCGTAAATATGTGAGTGTATGTATGAGTACATGTGAGTTTGGGCGTAAATATGCGAATGTGTGTGTGTGTGTGTGTTTGTGTGTGTAGTGTTACCAAAATACTGTTAATTTCTCCTGTTTTCCTACGATCAAAAGCAAACTGTTTGTTCGGATTCACTTTTTTCTTCTCTTTTTCTTTTCTTCTTCTTTACAGTGATCTTCCCCATGTACACACATGACAACAGAACTCCATTCTTGGCCTGATCTGGATCTTCTAATTGTAGCAGATTGCATGAGTCAGGTAATTGCTAGCGCAGTACAGGAAGCCAACCATTTTCCCCGCATCTTTAGTGGTGGATCGTATGTACGAGTTCCATTCGAGGTCAGGTGTGATTTTAAGGCCCAATAGTCTCTTAAGGCACGGTGCCTCCCCGTGAGGATACCCGTTAATCGTGACTGGAGGTGGTTCGGTATCTGATCGGCGATGATGCGATGTAACCAGTTTGGTTTTCGAAGCATTGAATGTAACCAGTCAGTTTCCCCTACTGAGCAGTTAGTGCTAGATCAGATGAGAGATCAGCTACTAGCCTCTGATCATTAAGAGTGTTAGAGATGCAGCCGTATATCGTTGTATCATCGGCATAGATGTTTACAAATGATCCGAATCTATTCTTTGGCGGATCATTTATGCAAATCAAAAAGAGGTTTTGTCTTAGAAGTGACCCCTGGGGGACGCCAGTGTTGACTGCAGGGTCCCGGAAGACTGGCCGTTAATAATTACCTTCAAGGATCTGTTAGGAAGGACTTTATAATTGAGAAGAACTTTGTAGTGATTCCATAGCTGGAGAGATTGAGTAGCAAACCTTTGTGCTACACCTTGTCAAAGACTTTCGAAATATCTAATGCTACGATCCTCTGGGTGTGTTTGTCGTCAAGTGTCTCTGTGAGTAATGGTAGTTAGGACATCAGCAGTGGAAACCCTATACTGCTTGTTGCTGAAGAGGTTCTTTATTCTCGACACCTTCCACAGGTTTTAGAAGGATTTCTCTTTCAAGCAGCGGTTGAATGACTTTGCTAGAATCCGGGACAATTTGGGGGTCGATATTCTTAAGAGCAACCACTGGAATCCTGTCTGGGTCAGTGGATTTTTTAGGGTCAAGTCTTTTGATAAGCCGTGAGACTTTTCGTGTTGTAATGAAAATATTGCTGAAATTGTGCTCAGTGAGACGTGAGAAGTTGGAGAGAGGATGAGTTTGTGGCAAAGATGAAGAGCTATGTATCCTCCTTGTCCTTGTAATCTTCGCTTCTTACCACCTCCTTTTTCACTCATACCACACCATATTCATGATAAATATTTTAACGGTAACCAGCTACTCTGAGTGCATTTTGAACCTGATATTGGACGAAATCTCGTATCAAAAATCATTGATTATGCTAGTAATAATGTGTAAGACTAGATTGTTAACCATATCTTTACAGTAGGCGCCCGCAATGCAACAATTATCAATTAAAACTTTCTTGATTTATCATCTATACACACGCTAAACCACAGTCTTAATGATAACCTCCCCTTTTCTGCCAAGGAAATTAACTATGACGAAGAATCTGAAATTACACCAAATTCAAATTAATTTTAATCAAATTGGTGACTTTATTCGTTTCATGCACGTAAGTTAAAGAATTCTTCTTTTTGGCATAACTTATTTAAACAAATCTTTTAAATAATTATTTCCATTTGTGACTGTTTATAAAGACGTTAATTCGGTAGGATATGAAATCAGATTTCTCAGTGAATTCTTACTTTCTCAAAATATTTAATTTTTATTTTTAAAAGTAAGAAAGGTGAAACAAACAACACATTGCTCTACCAACACTAAATGAATATAAAGACGAAAGCCTTTCACAAACACTAGACACATTCCAAGAAATGCGACACTTCCATTTTGATAACTCAAATGTTCCAAAACTATTATTCCTTCGAATAATTACATAAATTGCGACGCGAAAAATATTTTATTTTAATGTAGAAATTCATTAAAAATTATTTTATTATTATTATTATTATTATTGATTTAAATTTCCAATTACTTTATTATACAAATGCATTGTAAATTGTTTTAGAAATGTATTGCTTTTTAATACTTAGTGTTTATGTAAATCTGTTATGTCTCCGATAAGATTCATTAAATGAAGTCTTTTAAAATCACATTATTTTACTATAGGAATACATTGCAAATTATTTACAGTAGATATGCATAATATTATGAAAAATACATAAAATCTACTAATGTTAATGGTAATATTAGGCATTTTCTTATAAGGAAACATTCGTCATTGACCGAACAGCCAGTACTGCTTTCAGTTGAAATTTATAAAATCTTTCTCTTAAGATAATTTTTCCAGAAAATAAGTTTCTCAAGTCCACTAACTGTTATTGCTCTTTATAGTATTTATGGGGGCTTCCTTTATCTTTCTTTCTTTCTTTCTTTCTTTCTTTCTTTCTTTCTTTCTTTCTTTATTGAAGTAGAGTAGAAAGTCAGCATTTTATGTCATTATTTCTCTTTGAGTTATAGCACCAGTCTACGAAGTTCGAATAAGGATGGTCCTCTCTAAAACCTCCATGGTTCATTCACTCAAAGCCATTTTTAACCATTGATCTGCGAAAGTGGTTGTATAGAGCTGACAGATTAAAGATTTCTGAACAAGCTGAGCGCCATGAATTACATTCATATGAGGGTCTAGATCTGACGAGGCTATTTAAGAATATGACTCGAGTTCTTGCAGCAAATAGCGGAAGTAAGCAGATGCGAAATAGCTTATTTGTATACTTAATCTGTGAAGAAATCTAATGAATATAATATCGATACAAAAAGTTGATCATAAAATTACTTTGTTCCGTTGAGGAAACCTGAGATTGAAAGAAATGTAACTAGGGACACTAAAGAGTTATGGTGGTAGAGTGAAAACGTCAAATCAAAATTCAGCTAAAAACTGTATCTGTTACAGATTTATCAATCTACTCTCGTACATATAAATATATATTTCATTGAATGCGACGGACATAAATCCAAACTTCAGACTAACGATGTAATTTATCAATTTCGTTGTTCCGTACATTGTCCTGGGATTTTAGTAATAAACAAAAAAAAAAAAAAAAGAAGAAAGCCGTCAAATACATTGGTCAAATGCCAACGTCGTTAACTAGAAAATTGACATGTTTGAGTGATGTTTCTTCGATAAGAAAGGAGCTAAGCACTCATACACAACTCTCTGTTTCATAATAAAAATCCTTGTAGATAACTGATTTAACATACCTACGAACGATAATGGGTATGTCTCCATTCACATGAATACAGTAGTAAATACTGTATGTTGGTCTACAGTCGAAGATTCGTCTCCAACTGCGCTGGTCAAACTCTCTGCCTCCGTGCGGAGAGGATTCCCAGACGAGGTTATGTCGTCTAGCGAAACAGCTACCCGACCCCATTTTATACGGGGTCTACGGGGAATTTTTGACCAAACCTACGGGCTTGTATACCCCACATCTGACCACGTGGGGCGGTTGACAGATATCCTGCAGTCGGAGATTCGTTGTGGAATTCACTTGACTCATCTCTAGCATTTGACTACTATTTCTACGTGCGGCTGGTGAATCTTATATGTGTTGTTCTTGTCCTAAGTATTATCCTCCGTTGCCGATCTTCGTGTTATTATTCTATTCAGTAACCTTCCCTAGGTTACAACAATAACACTCATTTTAAAATATCCATCTAATTATAAAATGCGTATAAACATAATGGAAACACTTTTTATAAAGAGGTGTAAGCCAACTCTCAATTACTTCCTTGAAATGAGCTGCAACGTGTTAGGGATGGTCTGAAGAATGAATTACTACTACTTCTATGTAACACAGCTTAGAATATAAATATAGACAAATATACTAACAACGAACCCCTTGAAAATGGCTAATGATTTGGACAATATATAGACAGTTTCTCCACTATATTAGTCCTCATAAAAAAAAAACTGTAAGAATCAATTAGCCAGGCAATGACAATGGGTTAGTTTCGTATCGAAACGTAAACAAAGAGAATTTTTAGAATGGATTTTTTTTTTTTTTAATCTGACATGTTTTTATCACTTTACGTTTGGATCCGAAACAAGGCAGATAAGAAAATTTCAAATCTATGACGAGAGAGGTTTCGCTTAAAGATACAATTTGGACCTTTTCTGACTGATTAGTTCTTTGTATTTTAATTGGTCAGAGCGTATCGGATTTAACGATAGCTCCCTCTGCTCAAAGGGACACAGGTTCGCATCATGCCAGAAAGCGTAAATGTGTCTTTAATAAGATTTCTCAAACATTCAGGCCAGTAAACAAAAATTAATTAAAACATTGTTTAATAAATACTCGGGGCACATAAACAAAAACGAGTATTCACTAAAATAACCTTTAAAGTGATTATATATATATATATATATATATATATATATATATATATATATATATAAAAATGGTAATCCGTATGGATAGTCCCAAGGAGGATGAAATCCTGAGAGTTCAATGCAAATTCAGAGCTAATAATTTAAAGAAAAAACAGACCACTTTAAGGCTCCATTGTAATAGTTTATTTCATCGGAGACCTTTTAAAGACTGATGATCCAGCGTCCTTTAAAAGGTCTCTGGTGAAATAAACTATTACAATGGAGCCTTAAAGTGGTCTGTTTTTTTAAATTATATATATATATATATATATATATATATATATATATATATATATATATATGATAGAGAGAGAATAGAGGAGTGAGCTAATAAGTAGATTATAATTATACAAGAGGATGCAAAAAGTAGGGATAAAGTAATGAAAATCAAAACGTTTGCAAAAGCATATTGTATTATAATACTGCACACTATCCTTTGCAGATCTCGTGTATCGTGCGACCACCAAATTTTCACTTTTAAAAATGATTTAATCACATATCTCGTGTATGATGCGACCCCCTTAAAATTAGCTTCAATGTTAGATCTTTAAAGAAAACAAGAGAAGGGAGAGAGAGAGAGAGAGAGCGCTAGTATGTGTGCTAAAATGTCCTTGGTTTGACCCATTTCTCAAAATCTACCATGTGATTAAATGACCATATGATTAAACAACAATACTTTTGTGTAAGGACTTCTTGGTCCGACCTAGAACATTTCAGAACTTCTCGTGCATATATATATATATATATATATATATATATATATATATATATATATATATATATATATATGTAAACAGGTATTAATATTTAAAATACTCCTAAACCATCAGTTCACACTTACGTGGGCCACAAACCATGTAGAGATATAATTACATCCATTAATATACGTTGTTGCGTAATGAAGCCGCCATAATAGAAGAAGAAACAAAAAAAGCAACGTTAACAGTCGTATTTTCCTCTATTCCCCTCTCTCACGCTGTCTTTAGCTCTCTCCCTTTTAGCCACGAATATATGTTTTTCTGCACGCTTAGAGACACAGCCATGAACACATCTACTAAGCACACTAATAATATCATCATTATTACATTATTAGATCTCCATGGAAATAAGAATTGGAAAAGTGATGTTCATATCAATCCATCGATCTAAACACCTACCTACTTCTCTATGCGTCATTCCTATCATCATACGCTTATTGGGCTGGTTGAATTCTTATACAAGAAGAGGAAGATATATATATATATATATATATATATATATATATATATATATATATATATATATATATATTTGTATATGTATGTGCGGTGTGTATGTGTAAATATGCGTATTCTTATATATATATATATATATATATGCGTGTTCTTATATATGCGTGTGTATATGTAAGTGTGATGTGTATGTGTAAATACGAGTATTCTTTTTGGCATATCTGTGTATTTCTATATATGTGTACTATTACGTATCTATATAAATGTATCTTCATATACTTATGGATATATATGTCTGCATAAATATCTCTCTTTTCTATCTTTTATAATTATATATATATATATATATATATATATATATATATATATAATCTATATATATTATATGTTGATATATACCTACGTAGGTATATATCAACATATAAGCATATGCATACATACGTACACATATGCATACATATATGTATATATATATATATATATATATATATATATATATATATATATATATATATATATATATATAGAGAGAGAGAGAGAGAGAGAGAGAGGGAGATTCATTTATATGAGTTGGTATGAAATTATATATTGTATTGGCTTTATTGGATCACGTTTAGCAACAAACTTGTTATCCATTTCATCTTTAATCCTTCTCGTCTTCATCGAAGCTGATCCGCTCACCCCTCCGCCAACTTCATTTAATATTCGCCTCCTGAATCGGCACAGCATCAAATCAATTGATTAAGGAGCAGTCGAATAAAGATGCGGGCTGTGAAGCTGGCGCATAGCAAAGACATTATGAACTTGGAGGCTCTACAGCGAGTCAAGAAAGAACAAAGAAACAGAAACGATCTGGATTGTAAAAGAAGGATTAGGAGACGAAAGAAATACTGAAGAAGAAGGAGGAGTGGGGGGGTAAGAAATTTCAAAGGAAGAGGAGGGTGAAGAAGCAATGGTGAGAAGAAAAAATCAAAGGTGTAATGGGGGAAGAATGAGGTATGGATGAATGATGATGTAAAGAAGGGAAGGAAGAGAACGTTGTCGAAGAGGAAGAGATCGATGGCGAGGAGAAGGATGACGATGGCGAGGAGGAGGAGGAGGAAGAGGTGGAAAGGAAGAAAAATGAGAGGTAGAGGAGGAGATGAAGTATGGCAAGAAGAAAGAATCAAATGTAAGTGATGAACAAATAATAAGAGAAAGTGGAAAAAAAGAGAAAAAAGGGGAATTCGTGAAAAAAGGTAAAGAACGAGAAGAAGAAAAGATTGAAAGGAGGAAGAATAATTAAAGGTGGAGTGGGAGAAAAAAATAAGAGAAATGAACGAGTAAGGATTAGAATTAAAAGAGCAGAAGAGACAGTGAAAAAGGAGAAGAATAATTAGAAGGCAGCTGAGGAAGTTTACCTGAAGAAGGAAGATGAGAATGAAACAGTGGCATGAGAAGATTACCATGCATTTCAAAGAAGACATTTATTAAAAATTATGTCAGCTTTCAGAGCGAGTTTATAAATAGAAATGAATATGAAAAACCTCTTTGAAAATTAAATTTACTTCATTATGGACATTATTAAAATATAAAAAATATACTATAAAAAATTAAAATAAAATAAAAATTACAAGAAGCAAAAAAAGCAGAAATTAAGGATGATAAAATGGAAAGAAGCAAAAAAAAATGGAAATAAGCAAAAAAAAAAAAAAATAAAATGAAAAAAAATAGCAAAGTTAAGGATGATAAAAATGGAAAAAGCAAAAAAAATGGAAAAAAGCCAAAAAAAAAAAAGATAAAATGAAAAAAAATAGCAGAAGTTAAGGATGATAAAATGGAAAGAAGCAAA